AGCTTAGGAGCCATTGATCAACAACAATTAAGAAGAGAATAGAGAGAATAAAGAGAAAGCATCAAACCTCAAGTTTGAGCACTTCAAGCCTATTTTTCATTCAATATTCATTTTGCTTTCAAGAAAACCGTTTGTGCTCTATTGTATTTATCTTTGAGTGTTCTTTCGTTGTTCTAGAATTGTGCAAACAATATACCTTGTGAGGTTTTTCTTGTAAGTTTGCAAATTTGTGTATTTCTCTTTGGGAGAGAGTGTGCTCAAGAATTTTAGGTATAATTCTTGAGGGAGTTGTAAGGTTACTCTTTGTCGTCAAAAGAAAAAACAAATTAGTGAATTTGTTGGAAAATCCTTAGTGTGGATAACTAAGGTAGTGGATGTAGACTTTGGTTGAGAAAATCGAACCACTCTAAATCTTTGTGCAAATATTTTCAATTTTCTGCAAAAGCTTCCACCAAAATATTTATTACCAATTCACCCCCTCTTGGCCGATTCATCTATCGATTAACTCAACACAATGTTTGTTTGATCACATAAGTACAAATTAAATTGCACTCATCTGATTCGAATTGATTCTAATTCTTCGATTGTTCCGGAACAGAGTTACATTCAATATCTACATAACCATACATTGATACATATCAGTAATCCAAACAACATATTGTAATCTTTCATTTCTCGAACTAAGGAAAAGATCTATTTCCATTTTCCCTTTGAAGTGTATTGATACACACTATAAGGTATCGATACATCCCTTCACTGGTGTATCGGTACACTGCCTATGTATCGGTACACAAATTACATTCAAAATTTTCATTTAAAGGGTATATCGATACACTTATTACATTCGATGTTTTTCGTTTAAGAGTGTATCGATACCTATTGAATGTGTACCGATACACCTTGCCCAGAAATCTCATTTTAAGCACGAAATTTCACTCCTTTCAGCTTCAATACTTCATGTTTCATTACCTTTCATATTATTAACTCAAGTATACATACTTATACCAATTTCTACTCATTCAATACATCCTTAACCTCAAAATCTCATCCTCCATATGGAAATCAATAATCATACCAAATTTTTAATATGTTCTAAATTCAATTCTATCACTTCATATCTCTTAATTAAGCTGATGACAAGTCAAATTTCATCTCAAAGTTTCTTTATCAGCTCTTTTTTCAAAAATTCATTTAGAAACCTCTTATCTTTAATTTTTCATAAATTTTTCATCTTTTGGTTTTAAGACAACTTAAGATTTCCTTAAGCTTAAGGGGGCGTTTGGATGGGGGAATACGGGATTCCCATGGGAATGGAATCCATATTCCCCCGTTTGGTTAGTCGAGAATCTCATTTCCGGTAATGTAAGATTACCAATAGTGAATTTTTTGGGGTATATTACCGGGAATGTCATAACCTCCCTTTCCTTAGGTATTGTTGGATTACCGGTGTTTTGGACTAAAATGCCCTTAATTTTTTTTTCAAAAATATCATTTTTCTGTCGTTGAATAATAAAAATTCTACGAATGTTAAATTACAAAATTATCCTTAAACTATTTTAGATTTACAAAAAAAATCTATAATTACAATTTTATATGAAGTTCAGGTATTAAAATAAAATTTTACCCTTTAATTAAACATTTTTATATTTTCAATTTTGTAAAAAAAATTATATAAATCTTATGAATTTACATTTTTTAAAGAAAATATATAAATATTTTCCAACTTGTTAAAAAATATATATATAATAAGGACAATTAGGTCAAATATACATTCCAATAATCTTTTATTCTTTTAACAAAACACGGCAATCTTAAATTCCTGCTAAACCAACCAAACACAAAATACAACATTCTCAGTAATCCTATTCCCTGGTAATCTTACATTCCCACTGGTAATCTTACATTCCGTGAACCAAACACACCCTAAGGATCACCTAAGGATCATAAATGAACCTTTAATTCAATAAATAATCAACTAATTAAGAAACTCACCTTTTGCTCTTGAAACTCACTGCTGAAGAAGAAAGGAGAAGAATGAAGAGAACTCTGGAACTTTGTTTTTCTTTTCCCCAATTTTTACGTGTATATATCTCATCCTTATCACCTTTTAATTCATTTATTGGTCAAATGACATTTTTCCCTTTATTTCATTTAATAGTTACTAACAATCCTTCATGACATATTTTCCAATAAATTCTAGAACTATTCAATTATTCTTTTTTAATCATCAAATTCTAAAATTTTATAGTTTAGTCATTAACCCATAATTTGGGATGTTACAAGTTGTATATTCACAACGTTATACACATATGAGTTGTGTATTCATAACGTTATGCCCTAATAATAAATATAAAAATAAAGGATTGTTGTTTACTATACAAATTATTTAAGATTTATTTTAATAATTTATCTTAAATTCTAAAACTCTATCTCTTAAATAAAAAAGTCTACACTTAAACTTAAATTTAAAATCTTAAATATTACAAATAATATCAAAATAAACAATGTGAAGTAAATCTCACCTAACCTATGTTTTAAGAAATATTCTTAAAATAAATATTAGAATCTTTATACAATGAAACAACTATTTCTGCAACTGGACAAAATCAAATCTTGTTTTCTCGTGATTATCATAATCACGAAATTTGGATTTAAAAACCCACATAGTTATCGCATCCTTGTATAATGAAACAAATACATGTGTGATTGGATAACATGAACTTTTCAATATTTCAATTTAATCCTTAAACTACGACTATCATTCTAAATTAGTCCTCAACCTTTTGAACATTTCAATTTCATCCTCAAACTATGACCTTCATTCTAAATTGATCCTCAATTTTTTTTAACATTCCAATTTCATCCCAAACTATATGCATATACTAATCACGTCCCTTGTTAATAAAATCATTAGGCCAAGTTATATTATTACATGTTTGTAAAAAAATTAGGTTAAACTATGATTCAAACTAATTACATATTTGGATGAAATTGGGGATGAAATTAGAATATTCAAAAGTTTGTGGACCAATTTAGAAAGAGGGTCATAGTTTAGTGATGGAATTAGATTGTTTAAAAGTTTAAAGACTAATTTAGAATGTGAATCATAGTTTAAAGATGAAATTAAATATTCAAAAATTGAAGAATCAATTTAAAATGAAGGTTATACTTTACTGACATATGATACAATTAATTCATATAAAATCAAATTCGGTTTTCCCTTGTAAGCATTAAATTTGTCTGGGCCTAAGGTCTAACTACCCAAATCGACTTAGGTCTGACTAAACCTAGCATCTTAAACCTAAATCGAGACATGCATTATAAGCCTATCAGAACTCCACCAGACCTGCTCAAGATTTAAGTCCAAGCCCAATTATCGTCAGATGTAAGGTTAAGTGAGCCAAGTCCCCTTTACTTACCTAAATCTGACTCAAATCTAGATTTAGACCCAAACTTCATCTTACCCGATTAAGTCGTTCAATCCCCTTTTCCATGAATCTTCCAGCTTCTTCTCTGCTCCATACTTGAAAAATCGATTGGATTTATATCTTATTTAAGCCCTACTTCAACAGTATCAGAGGAACACGGAATCAAAAGGTAAACTTATTGTTTGACCATAACTATCTCTCGAGAACGAGAAGTTTTCTCAATGATTCGAACGGTGAATGAGCCTTATTCAACGTATTGACCAACATACTTCTAAATAACTCGATCTCTTAATTGAACGAGATAATTTTCGTTGTAACCTTTATAGATTTACGAATTTTTGGTCATTTTTTTTTATAAAATGAAGGTCGAAATCAAATTCAAAACATCTAAAGGATACAATTAATGAAATTTAGGATCGAACGACTATTATTGATGATGATAGAACGACGACGAAATATTAGAATTGTGACTTAGCGGACACTAAACGACGATCGATTTTCTAGAGAGATAGCAGCGAAACGAAATTAAGAGAGGGAAAAAAGATAAATGAGGAAAATAGTTAAAAAAATCTATTCAAACTTCTTATAATATTTGTTTTGGGTTGACTGTTCAGACCCCAAAACGATATTAATTTGAGCGTTTAATTTGTTATCTTATCTGTAACTCAATTAGTCCCACTTAAAATCAGGGAAGACTCGTGCTTTTTTTTCACATGTTTGCGTAAAATCACTCATATTTGCATTTGTTTTAATTCAATCTTTTTTGCATTATTTTATTTCTTTCTAGCCCTTTAATTTATGTTTAGTTCAATTAAATCCTATCATGTTATAGGATCTGGAAATTAGGTTTCATTTTATGATTTGATATTTTTGGACTGAGTAACTTCAATGTGTTTCAATTTAATCCTAATCTTAATGGCATAGTTATAATCAATCATAATAAGTTTAGTTTCTTTCAATTAGGTCCTTAGTTCATTAAATTGGTTAATAATCAAGTCTAATAAGCTTAGTTTCTTTCAATTAGGTCCTTAGTTCATTAAAATAGTTAATAATCTAGCCATGTAAGTTTAGCATCGTTTGATTAGATCCTAAATTTGGCTAATAAGACTGGCTTTAATATCTTAATTGATTATAATTTGGCCCTTAATTAATAAATTTGGCTTTAGTTTACTAGTTGACTTCAATTTAGTCCTAATCCAATATTTATAATAAGATTTTAAGCCTTGAACGTCTAATTATTTTCAATTCAATTTTAAGCATGTTTATTACTTTTACTTTATATTTGGTCCTAATCCGATTGAGCCAGGGGATAATCTTAACAGGCAAAGAGTTCTGATACACACAAAACAGAGTATTATTGTAAATGAAGTTTTAATTTACATCAATGTCGTATAACAAAACTTGATTCCGTCTAAAAGTAAAGACGGAGAAAATTCCAAAGAGTTTGAATTTTGACATCTATAAATGGAATAAATTAGATTGGGAGGATTGTCCCATGATGAGCCTTTGTAAAACCGGATCCGAAATAGTCGATCAACTGATCAAGTACCGGTGGTTAAAGACAATCCCAACGAGTTGAATTAATATTAAGAATAATATAAGATTTTATTGTTTTGATTATTTATTTCTTCCTATTTCCAGATAAAAAGAGTGAACTCAGACAAAACACATCCACCAAAGGAACATTGAGAATAGGATTAACTTTTGTGACACTACTCTTCTTATTCTGCCTCTGATCATTACCTTTTCTATTTCCATGACCGTCTGGTTTCACCTTTGGAGTTGAATGACATGATCTTGGGTTATTCCCACTCGAATTCCAATTCCGATTCATTGATCCAGCACCTGTTCCAGCCACCCGAGGTCGGTGTTTCCGGTGTGGTACTGGTGGCTGCTTCTGTTGTTTCTTGATTTGAAGAGGAAGGATCTTACCATCGGCGAAAAGCTCGTTAGCCGATGAATGGTAACACTCTTGATCATCGAAACTGTTAACTCGAACATCGAATTCGAATTCCATGGTTGAATCGGATGGCACGGAAGTCGATCGGAGAGGAGGGCAGTAGTAGTACTGTTGCGTTGATGAAAACAAATAATGGGAAAATGAGATTCTCGGAATTGCTTCAGCCATTGGAGAAATCCAGGAACGTTTTTGGATGGAAACTGTGGTAGTATCTATCATATATAGATAGAAAGGTAGTTAGCGAAAGAGATACGTACGTATAAAAATCAAACTACCTCAGCAGGAAGTAAGACGATATTTAATTAAAGCAAGGCACTAGACAGCTGCATGGAAGAAAAATATTACTGTTAACTCTAGAAGGTTTGATTTTGATCAAACTCTTAAATAAAGAAAATTGAAATTAAGGAAGCTTCTTACGAGTATGTATCAATTATACACATGTATTACCTTATAATCACTCACGTACCATTAAAACATTTGTTGATGCTTGTAATTAATTTTTTAGACGTTGGTTTTAATTGTCCGTTCATACACACTTCCAATATGTGGCAAATCAAACAGTTCATCGGCAGGGTAGGCTAGAAAGAAATTAAGAAATGATTTCCCCATTTGTTAATGACTGTATTGAAGATAAGAAAAACCATGAATCTGCATGCCGTTTGGCCATTAAGTCTAATCTTAATTAGGGTTGGTACCATATTGAAGAAACTGAGCTGTTGTTCTTAATTATTCTGATGCAGATTTTATACTATTTAAGTTTATCCCTCAAATTTTATTAATTCATTCTTATCTAAAATTTTACGAATTCACCTCTAATATAAAATCTTACATTCGTCATGAACCGATCTCTTACTGTTATGTGGTTTACAAGTGCATGGCAAAGGTTTAGGCGAGCAGGGTGACAGAATTTCTGCCAAGCGTTGTTGGTGGGAAAACCGATCTCTTACTGTTATGTGGTTTACAAGTGCATGGCAAAGGTTTAGGCGAGCAGGGTGACAGAATTTCTGCCAAGCGTTGTTGGTGGGAATCGGTCAAATTTCATCCACGGCAATAGCATTTCTTGCACAAGAGATAGTAAAGGCCAAGGGGATATGGAAGGAGAAATTTGTCATCATGGACCAAGTCATGATTTTATTTTAGAAGAAACATAATTATATTATCAAAAATTGAAATGTTAAAATATAATTTTATCCTTATTTCAGTTTATTATATAATTTGATTGAATTATCATTTATTTTACAAAATATTAACTTTATATCTTTAAATATTGAAGGGACTAAAATTGATATCTAATCATCTAGAGAGTGTCACGAGAAGATGCGACTCTCGGCTAATTTACGAGAATAATACTCATTTTATATTTATCTATTTGAATGGTATTCAAACAACTTTATTTAGAAAGGTTTCCTTTTAACAAAAGTGCCAAAAATATAAAAAGATGTATAAACTTTATTAAAAAAAGGAGTAACACACAATATGTGTCAAACACATAATTGCAAAAGTATGAACCGGATAATTAATAATGTATGCATATATGTTTTGCCTTCGATAATTGGATAACTAAATGTTTAGGATACTATATTTAAATACTTGAAAAAAAAAATTGTATATAAAGAATGTGAGATTTGAGAATTTTATAGTTAAAATTTGTTGATTTTGAACTGTCAGAGACAAATCTTGAACTTAATCAAACTCATATAAATACGACAATCAAAGAAAATTGTCGCCTCCTGAATTACTCGAGATCTCAATTGAACAATTGTCTTTGACTGTCGTATTGATATGAATTTGACTAAATTTAAGAATTACTTTTAACATATCAAAATCAACAAATTTTGACCACAAGATTTTCAAATCTCACATTGTTTATGTATATGAGTTTTTCAAACGTTTATATATAATTTCCTAAACATGCAATCATTGAGTGATTATATACAAGGTTTGTACACGCACACCGCAATTGTTGTATGATCAACTCGTGCTCGTGTAAATGCCTAATTGCACTAAAAAAAATAAAAGCTAGGTACCTAATTGTATCATTAGAAGTTGGATATCTAATTGTACAAGGAAAAAAAGTTGAGTACCACATTGCGGATAAATACCAAAATTGGGTACTAAAATTTGTATTCACCCTTTATTTTTCCATTTGCCATTACCCATGTTTTTAGCCTGACGGACAGACATTTGACCTAGTATTGCCATGTCTTCACCAGCTACAAGACCGGCAAGTCCTCTGGACAAAACAAGCACAACACAAAATACAATACAAAACTCTGTAAGGAACGCGCAATTCTAATTTGATTGGTTCTTTACCCTGTCACTGCCTGCTTTTTGATTGTCGAAAGAAAACACTTTAAAGAAGGATTAGAAAATAATCGTTAATTTTGGTGGAAACTCCATAGTTATGTTTGTTTGAAGGATGAGAGATCTAGTCAAAAAGAGGATTTGGTTTTGCTTGTTAGTTTTAGTGTACATAGTTTCTTGTTTTGGACAAAATGTTGATGGTAATTTGAAATAGATTAGAAGTTTAAATAGTTATGGGAAGATTCATTGCAGTTGCGTTTCATGCAAAAGATATGGCATTCTTTAGATTTGAATTGGTTGTCCTATCACCTATGTTTGCTTGAATTTATGATCTGACCTAGTTTCCCCTCTTATTAATATTATTGTAGCTATGGAGGACCTTTCTATTGACGCCGTTTAAGCTCATTACGGTATTCTTGCATGAAGCAAGTCATGCAGTTGCCTGTAAACTTACCTGTGGTCATGTAAGAGCCTCTTGCCTATATCATTCACATGGCATATGAAGAGTAAAAGTGTAAAACATGTTTTTAATTTGATCATGAGAGTTTGACTGCATAATGTTTATTCTGCTTTTTAAATTGTGTTTTGTGATGTTGGTATGAGATGGATTTCTTTAGTTCTATTGATTAATGAACTCAGTTTTATGTATTTTGTAGTTATGAAATACGCTTTGTATTATTTTAGGGGGGGAAATGATCAAGTGCTTGAATAAGCTTCAAATGTTCACTGGTGCCCTACCAAAAGTGATTTGAAAAGAATTGCAATTTTTTTTGAGCTGGTCTAAGTTAATGTTAACTCATCTGGCTGATGTCTAGTTTTTGGATTATAGTCTGCTCATTGATCAATGTTCCTTTTACTTATGATGTAGATTGAAGGGATCAAGGTTCATGCAAATGAAGGCGGAGTAACACAGACACGAGGTGGTATATATTGGGTGATTTTACCTGCCGGATGTAAGTATTTTCGCCTCAGAACACATCCTCGTTTTCATGGTATGTTTCATGACAAATGCTAGAAGTCTGTAGTGAAGACGTTCTTGTTTTATTCACGGACAGATCCATTTAGTCTTATTAGGACAAGATACAGCTCTTCCGCAACTATTATTGTATGTAACCGCCTAATCGGTATATGGATGCATTAGGACATGATTTAAAGCTTGTACAAATATTGAATCATAAGGCTTTGTTTACCTTTTCCCTATTATAATTAGTTTACCATTCATTTTTATTTTTCATCTCATGCAAGTTGCTTTTTAGTAGCATTTATGGTATACAATTGCTGTTACTTTCAGATCTCGGCTCATCATTTTGGGGGATGGCTTTAATTCTTGCATCGACAAATCTCCTCACTGCAAGAATAGCTGCTGGTTGTTTTCTTGCCGCTCTCGTTGTTGTGCTCTTTTATGCTAAAAATGTAAGATGTCCAGGAGATTATTTCCTGATAAAAAAACAGCATTCATATAGAGATGTTGGTTTCTGTATTTCCTGGTATAGTTTATTTTCTTCAATGAGCACTTTCAAACTTTTAACCTGTGATGTGTATGATTGCTCAAACAGTGGACACTTCGGGGACTTTGTATCGGTGAGTACCCTTTTAAACTTGTGATAACTTGTAATTTTATAACCATGAGTTGAACTTGAGGTGCTAACAATTTTGTCATCCTTGTATTCGATTCCCCAGGATTTATTATTTTCATTGCACTAGTTTGGTTTTTGCAAGAAAGGACAACAGTTCGGATTCTCCGTTATGTCATTCTCTTCATTGGTAGAGGCTTTCTTGTTATACTTTCCTTTTCATTTACAAAGAATAATCTCATTCTCTTGTCTCTTCCACGAAAAGAAATGTTGCTTATTTCTTATTTTGGAAATTGCAGGTGTCATGAACAGTCTGTTTTCAGTCTATGGTATGTGTCAGTGTTTCTGCTTCCTCTTGACATTTCTTTCTTTCGTTTATTTGCTCGAGCCAATTGGTTGTTATTAGAGTTAAGAATCAAGTTTGAAGTGACTTGAATATTATCGTCACAGACATCTACGATGATCTAATATCTCGAAGAGTCAACTCCAGTGACGCGGAGAAGTTTGCAGAAATCTGTCCTTGCCCCTGTAATGGAGTTGGATGGGGATTTATATGGTGAGGAACCGACACTTGAAGCATCGACTGTTTTCATTATTATTTCTGTATCGCCGCTCACATTCTTTTTCGAACACTGCTTGCAGGGGAATGATATCATTCATATTTCTTGGTGCATCAGTGTATCTAGGACTTATCATCTTATCTTGACCCGAGGTACAGCCTGCTTCTCATCTCATCATTCAGATTATTTCGATTGTTGTTAAGTCGAAATGTGTTATTTATTCGTATTATTAGTAATCTACTCCGATCTGGTCTTACATGAATCCTTCTGATGGATGTTTATTTACAGTCATATGACAGAAGCTTATGATTCGTGATTCAGAAGATTGGTTAAAAGTTCATCTTGGTAAATAAATGGCAATGTATTTATTGTACATCGTTCAGCAGTGTATGATTAAAATGGTGTAGGCCATTTTTCCTGCATCGGAACATAATGTATTTATCGGTGATTTGATTCACCATTCATTCAATCTTTGTAAACCTGTCATTTGGGCTCACATTTCACTTTAATTTTATAATATAGTTGCAAAATGTGTTTCGGTTGATTCATTTTAATTTTTCCCCCGCATGAAAACTAAAATAAAATAATTAAAAGTTGATGAGATGAATATAGGTGTAAATGAGATAAGAAAGATTACAAGCTACTCGAATTTGATTCAATCAAAACTCAATTTGAATGAACTAAACTCGAATTGAATGAACTCAACTCGAACTTGAATTTGATTTGAATTCTTAGACTTGACTAGAAAAATTTATGAGTAACTTGAAAAACCAATATATTAAAAATTAAATTTTTTAAATTAATTTATTAATAATATTAGCATTGATATGTTATTTTCTTAATTGGAGTATAAGACTTTCATATACTTGAAGTTCAAGTTTGAATTGATCAGAGAATGTTTCAAAATCAAGTTTTTTAAAACTAGAGTCAAACTTCAATTTTTAATTTCAAGTTTGAGTCAAGATAGATAATTTTAAACAAAGCTGAATTCAGCTTTAAACTTTTCGAGTTCAAGTTGAACTTAACAATACTTGAGCTCGACTCATCTCATTTACCGCCCTAAAAATGAACACGCATCATGACACCCTATTTAAAATCCAAGTTCACAAATGGATCATGATTCATGGTATACATTTTTGTATTTGCTGCTTAGCCCAGAGAAATGTGCAAATTGTCCTACTGCACACAGACAAGCAATCAATAGCAGGAAACAAGCCTGGCCAGTCGCATAATTATTACTATCTCTTCTTTCCTCTCATATTTCCCAACCTCAAGTATTAAAATTTGTCGATGTGAACGTGAGGACATACAATTCGCTCATAGATATTTAACTTCACATTTTGAGTAAATCAGAAACCAGCCCAACCAGCAGGTTGGGAAACTGTATGGTTCTCCTTTATCTTTGATTCACCCGAACGTTGGGAACTACTTCCTTCACTTACAGGTGCTTTCAATCTCTGGGAGCTGGCAGCAGGGGCAGCCGTAAAGTTATCTGTACCAAAACCCCATGTTTCCGAACCAGAAGTTGCTTGAGCAGCATGCTTGTTTGAGTGACCATTTCTGGTTCTGACTGACTGTACATTGGCCTTTGAACGAGGCTGTTGCTGTGGTTTGGCATCCTCTGGAAAAGCTTGCCACGGATTTACTTCGGGGCTAACGGTAGTCCAATTAGCAACATTTTCTTGTTGGAATGTTCCTTCAGTCTTCTCTGCCTGCTACGAAACAATTTGGTTCAATCAAGAACACGACTAAGTAGAAATTTGATTGAAAAAAGTTGTGCATATGAAATACAAATAGGAAACAAAATGAAGAAAAGTGTACCAGACTTCCAGGTGAGTTATGATATCTTGAAGTACTTTTATTAGGAGATGGAGTTCTAGCAGCTAGACCTTGCTTGAGCTCCTGTATTTCCTGCCTCTGAGATCGACAAATTGCAGATAACTTTTCAAATTTGGAGGTCATCTCAGCCTTCTCCATGTTGGTTTGTGTTAGCTGTTCTTTAAGCTTCCCTATTTCGTCCTCCAATGCTTTTTCTGTTCCAATTCTTTTATTAGCGATTCCAGGATTGATCTTATTGCTATCAAATTCAGCAACAAAGGTGTTGAATGCCTTGTCCTGAAAAGCAGTGGTGGTATTCTTGTCCTCAAAAAAATTAATTTCAATATCTTTTTTTTTTGATAAGAATGGAAGGCCTCGCTAAAAACCCCCTTCTTGATTAAAGGAACTTAGTGATAAGCTCCTTAATCAGCGGAAGGAGGAAAAGAGTGCCTTAAGAACTTTATTGATAATATAATCTTACATAAGATTTAAACACTACATCACAATACATCCCATAAAACTTAACAACAATTTTATAATAGCCCATATCGCTGGACCAGAAAATCCAGTAACAGGTCCTTACAGTCAACCTATCCCTTTCTTAGCTAAGCTATCAGCCTCCCCATTGCTCGCTCTTGGAATCCACCTCACTGAATGAACCTTGCCATTTGAAAGAGTCAAAATCTGATTAACCAAAGACAAGTAAAAAACAAGAGCCAAAGCCGGTGATTTAATCCATTCCACTACCGACTTGCAATCACTCTCAACAATCAATCTTCCAACCGAAACCCAAACTGAAGCCAGAAAAATTTCAATACCCCTTTTAATAGCCTTTAATTCAGCTAGCGGAGGAGTAACTTGGTCCACCTTCTCTGAAAAAGTCAAAAGCGTGCAACACTCCGAATCTCTCAATATACCTCCTATGCCTCCACCCGAGCCTCCAAGCCTAACAGCACCATCAACGTTCATCTTAAGAAAATCAACAGGGGGGGGGAAACCAACGCAGGTTATGACCAACTCTGTCTAAAGTTAACGAAAACCCATCTGCTAGAGATGGATTACCAATCAGCAAATCCTCCTGAATATTAACCATAGGAAACTTTGCTAAAAACCATTTTGATAACCTGAATCTAACTGTAAAGAACAAAGACATGCTGTCCAGGTTAGAACCTTCGAACACTATAGCATTCCTGGCTTTCCAGATTGACCAGAAGATAACACCTGGAATAAACTTCCATATCGTCGAGTTTCCCCTCAATCACACCAGGAACTAAGCAAAGCAGGAGGGTCTTGAGGAAGAACAAACAAAATATCCCAGAAGCTAGCTATTTTATTCCACAACTTCCAAGCAACAAAACAGGAATAAATAAGTGTTGAACTGTTTCCTCGTGAATCTTGCAGAAAGGACACTGTATATCCTCCCCTAAAGAAACTCCTCTCTTAACCAACTCAGCCTTAACTGCCAATTTCTGATGTGCCAGTTGCCACAGAAAAGCTTCCACTCTCGGTGGAGCCAAACCCTTCCAAACTCCTTGTAGCCACACATCATTACCCTACCTCCGAGCCAATGTTTTCCCTGCATGATTTAACCGAAAACAGTCCATCTCCACTAGCAGACCAAGAAAGAGAGTCCTCCACCAACTCTGACAGTTTGACATCCTTAATTTTTATCATCAAAGCTAACCACTGGTCCAATTCCCAATCACTCAGATTCCTTCTAGTTTGGACATTCCACTCCCAACCACTCGGTCCATAGCTGCCAAACTCAACAATCTCCCCCCTTTATTAATGGAAAGCACGTAGATTCTAGGAAAAAGTATTTTAGAGGGACCTCATCCGCCCAAACATCATTCCAAAAAGAAATTGATTTCCCATTACCCACTTGCAGCTTCGAATTCAATCTAAGAAAGTTCCCTACCGAATCATTCTTAGAAAAATTATTAGCAATGCCTCTCAAGATCCATGAAGATTTCGGAGAAGTAACCTTTCCAATAGACATAGTGTTCCAACTCATCTTTTGCTTACTACACAACACCGATTTCCAGAGAGAGTTTTTGTCATTGGCAAATTTCCACACCCACTTGCCTAGTAAAGCCCGGTTAGTAAGATTCAAATCAAGGACACCTAGTCCACCACAGTTCAAAGGCCTGCAAACCGTGTTCCAATTTACCCAGTGAATCCTCCGCTTATCCCCCTTCTCACCCCAAAGAAAGTTAGCCATTAAAGAATTAAGCTTCTTTCCGATATTGCACGGCATTTTGAAAAGAGATAGAAAGAAAATCGGCAAAGAGGTTAGCACCGACTTCAACAGGACTGTCCTCCCAGCCAAAGACAGACAAGACGCTTTCCACCCCGCAAGTTTGGAACTAAAATTCTTAAAGACCGGATCCCATAGAGCCTCTGTGTTTTTCCTTGCTCCCAAGGGAAGTCCCAAGTATTCTGTAGGTAGAAAACCAACCGAACAGCCCACTTGTTCTGCCCAATCCGATAACACTCCCTCTTCCAAATTGATACCGAACAGCTTACTCTTTGCTAAATTGAGGTGTAAACCTGTCATAATGCTAAAGATCCTCAGCACCCTTTTTACATTCTTGATCTGATTAATGGAGGCTTGACAAAAAATTATTAAATCATCGGCGAATTGTAGATGGGACAGCCTGGTAGAATTATCAGAATTCCCCATAATAATACCCTGGAATAAACCCCTCTCGATTGCTTTAGAAAGCATCAAATGTAACATCTCGCCTATAATGTTGAACAAAAGTGGAGAAAGACTGCAGCCTTGTCTAAGACCTTTTTCCATTGCAAACTCCTCAGAAGGAGACCCGTTAACAAGAATCGAAATAGAGGCTGTAGACAGACATTGAGTAATCCACGATGACCATCTGTTTCCAAATCCCATTTCTTTCATTGCTCTAAACAAAATAGGCCATTCCACAGTGTCGTATGCTCTTCGGAAGTCAACTTTAAAAACTACCCCTTGCAGTCCTTGTTTTCTCCAGAGATCAATACCTTCGTTCGCAATGAAGGCGCAATCCAATAACTGTCTCCCCGGAATAAATGCAAATTGGGATTGACTTATTATGTCGCCAACACAGCCACTCAACCTTTTAGATAATACTTTTGAGAGAATCTTGTATAAACTACCTACAAGGCTGATTGGTCTAAAATCCTCCACACTTTCCGGATTAGTCTTCTTCGGAATGAGTGTAATAAACGCGTGATTAACTCCGTGTTCCCATTTTCTACCTCTGAAAAAATCCTGGAAAAACTTCAATACATGTTCCTTTAAACCCGACCAACATTTCTTGAAGAAGCCCATGGTAAAGCCATCCGGTCCTGGTGCTTTAGAACTGTCCGAAGAAGCTATCGCTTGCCATATTTCTTGTTCCGTGAACTGCTCCTCAAGTTTTAAAGATTGGAACTCTGATAGCATAGCAAACTCCAGGGATAAATCCTCTACACCCAGCGTTGACATAGAACTATAGGATTCCCTAAAAAAGGCCGCAATATGCAACTTAATAGATTGCGGATCTACAACTTCAGAACCATTGATCTTCAAACTAGTAATTTCATTTCTCCTACTCCTGTTTAGAGCAGTTAAATGAAAAAATCTAGTGTTTCTATCTCCATCTTTAATCCATTTCGCCCTTGATTTCTGAAACCAGATGCTTTCTTCAATCCTATACAACCTCCATAGATCAGATCTGAACTGCAGCAGATGCCCCCAGTCCTGTTGGCAGAGGTCCCCAGCTTGAGCTTTAAACTCAAGATTATTTATCTTCAATTCCAGATCTGCTATGGACTCAGAAATTCCATTGAACTTTCTGCCCGACCAACTTCTGATCGCTATTTTAGTTTCTTGAAGAATGCTGAAAATGCCCCTACTCCTTCTACTCCCCCTCGAAACATCCATGGATGATTTAACTATATCCTCAAACCCTTTTTCCTCTAGAAGATAGTTAAAAAATCTGAATGGTTTGGGGCCCCAATCAACAGTTTTTTCCTCCAAACAAACGGGATTATGATCAGATAAAGATCTCGGTAACAGGCTTTGCAGAACATTAGGAAAACTTATCAGAAAATCCCCAGAAATTAGGAACCTATCCAATCTGACCCAAGTAGAGGCTTCTCTATTATTACACCAAGTGAACCTTCCCCCAACCATAGGTAGATCGATTAAATTAGTATGATTCAGGAAATTTCTTAGAATAGCTATAGAAAACCAATTCTGTGACATTCCTATCTTCTCTGTCGGATCAAAATACACATTAAAATCACCCCCAATGCAAACTGATACTGTTTGAGCAGTGACAAAATTCAGCAATTCCCTGAAAAAATCCTCCTTTTCAGCATCAATACTTGGACCATATACATTAATAATCACACATTTATCACATGAATTCTTAAAACTTCCAAAGACAGCTATGAACCTGCTGCTTAAATGACTATTTGTAACTTCAAAATCCTTATCATTCCACAACACCATTAAACCTCCTGCAGACCCCACAGCTGGAACAACAGTCCAACTATTAAGAATACTTCCACCTATCCTTCTCCTAATAGCCTGAGAACATTTTTCCAGCTTTGTTTCTTGAATGAGAAGAATGCCTGGTTTATAATTCCTGACCATAGTAGCTACTGCTCTAGATTTTTCCTTTTTTCGGATACCCCTTATGTTCCAAGAAATAATCTTCATCTTTACCATGTATATCTATGGAAACAAAACCTCAAAGCAAAGTAGCCGAGAGATCCCTACTCCCCGAAACCACCCCTTCCCCACAATCAGCCAAACCTTTCTCCATATTAATTATTTTATCCAAAAAGGCTTTCTTCCCCTCTTTGAATGAGATCCCAAGCAATTTACTGACTTCCCATGTAGCCAGCGCTTCTTCTAAACATAAGGAAAAATTTGGAGAATACACAGTAGGGATACTAGCCACGTCCAGTGCTTCCCTAATCAGAATCCTTTTCTTTCTTCTAATACCAGTCCTTGCTTCTGATCCATGCTTATTCCCTTTAACACCCTCACCATCTCCCCGAGGAAGCTGTGACCGAACTGCATCTGCTTTCTGACTAGAACCATCATCATCCTGGGTCTCAATCGGGCTTCTCCCGATATATTGGTAATAGGTAAAATACTCGAGGTAGGAATATTTCTAGACCTATTGTGATCAGACACCTCCAGTGGAAACATTGAACCATTTTCTCTGCTTGGATTAAACCACACCTTTCTACCTCTGGATCTTCTATACACTCTGGAGACAGGCCCTCTCTTCCACCCTCCCAAATGCAGACTCCTAGGCAGGTGATTGAAAGGACTCCAGCTACTAAGGCCAATAGTATGAGACTCCTTATAACAACCACTCTCTTGATTCATGTGCATCGACTTTTCTTCCCTAACCTCTTCTATACCTTCCTCACTACTAGCTTCTTTGTTCAGGAATGTTCCTTCATTAATCAAAACCTCATTGGATTTGTTAGAATCTTCTCTATGTACTGGCTGTAACCTAACGACTACCCCACCAGGAATTGGCTTTGGGAATAGATAAGAAGGATCATTAGCCTTTTTTTGCACATTTGATTTATCCGAACCAGATTGTTGCGGCTCCACCAAAGTTTCCAACCGGGATTCATTCCCCTTACCAAACCCCAAATTGGTTTGATTAACCCCAGGCCCAATAAAGAAATTGGGTGGTCCTCACTCGAATCCACAGATTGGGCTGCCACACTTTCAACTATAAAATCATCTCTTAAACCCAGCCCTCGATAATCCCCTTTTAAATTCAAAATCCCATCTGGTAATTCTGACATCATAGCACCACTATTTTGACTTTGTAGTTCCTGTGACAATAAATGCTCTTCACCTTTGCCGCCTACCATAGATGTATAGTTTTCCCCTACCAACCCTCTGACATATGTATCCCTAGAATCCTTAGCTATCAAGTCCAGCTTACCAACTCCAACTGAATGGTTATCATCTTCCTTCTCAGGTTGAGCGTCGTTACTGTACACACCATCTCCGGCCACCATAGATTTTTTAACTGCAAAGCTTTCCTGTTTAATACTAACCGATCCCAAGTTAATTTTAACCTTGAAAGAACGCCCATACGAACCCATATTAACAAATTCTTGTATGTCGAACGGACTGGCCACCTTCAGTAGAGCTCTTGCCACCGCCATATCCTCCCTTTTGATTGTCGACTCGTGAATACAGACCAACTTCCCCCACTTTGAAAGTAACTTTTCCAAGAAAGATTCGTTCCAACATAATAAAGGGATTCCAACCAGTTCAACTGAGCAAAAAGCCAACGGAACACCTTCTTCGCTCATAAGCGGATCAAGCCAATCAAACCAGAACAACAGTTCCTCCCCTCTGCTCGTCCTTGCTTTTTCTAATTCTTCTACTGAGTCGAAAGTTAAGATACAAGAGTTCCATGTATAACCCCATTTAGCTCCCCTGACTATGATTCCATCACTAGCCAGCCCCTTCTCCACTAATTCCAGATCAAACTGGGATTTTATAATTCCAGTCAATGATCTTTTAACCCAATCATACTCATCTAATGGGATATGCATCTCCCATACATTTCTCAGTCCTTCTTTCTCTCCTGGACGACCCTCCTTAAACTCTTTGTTCCCCTGAACTTCCCTTTGCTCGTCATAAGAGACCAGCACATCCTTATATGTTCTTTCATCCCTCAATTTGCTGATCGACACTGACCTTGATCTTCTTCTCAAAGTCGTTCCTATTTTCCATTTACCTTCTACCCTTCTGACATCTCTATTATCCTCTTGCCTGGACCTCTGCTTCTGGTACTTAGCTACACCAACTGAGACTTTCTTACCATCTATCCAAATACCATTCAAATTTGCTATCGCTTTCATCAACCCATCTTCCTTCTCAAACTGAACGAAAGCAAACGTGTAGTTCCTATAATTCTGCTTGGTGGAGCTACTCGGAATGTAGACCCTAATAACACTACCATGTTGTTGAAAGATTTCCTTTAGTGTTCGCCAAGTTACCCTCTTACTCAGAAAGTTGACAAACGCCGTCCATTCCTCACCGGAGGACTGGCCGCCTATGGCACTCTCTCTCACTCTCCCTTTCTCTCTCTCACTCATATCCTATGTTTCTTTAGAAGGTCCAGCTTCGAGCTTGTGTGATTTATCAGGCGTACTTGAAGTAGAATGAGTTTGTACAGTTTCCCCTCTTATAGGACTCCTGTTATGTTTTACTGAACCATAGTTGGTTGGCTCATCGTCATATTTGGGTCTTGGCTTCTCTTCAGCAATATCTGCGTCCTTTGCATGCTGAGTAGACCAGAAAGCACCAAGCTGTCCGCCGCTTGGCCTTGAGCCAGGCTGTTGTGTATTTTTAGCTGGTTCACCATGAGGCGGGGGTGGAGGGCTTCTAGAAGGAATCAGAGGTGACCTATTTGTAGACCTTGGAACACCTGCTAAATTGGCACAAAGCATCTATTCAAGTTCAATGAAAACTTATGTCTAAGCCTCCAATATTCAAACTTTTTCTATCTATAATCTTTCTATAACTCATCCAACAACATCAGGATCCACCATAACATGAAGCAGTTAAATTTAATACAAGTATTAGACCTTCAAGGGGAGAACTGAACTGTCAATTGGTATAAATCTTCACCTTCAGTAGATGGCATTTCAGGTGGCCGATCAGGTAGAGACTTCTGTTGAGCAGCAGGCAACTGCTCATTAACACGAAACCAGACCTGCCATCATGGGAATAAATCCCAAGATCAGTTAAATAGAATGTTAGATCTCTGCCAATGATAAGCATGGACATAGATTATCTAAAACTAGCCTAAATTCAAGGATGAATGACCAATCAAGCAAAGTGCTTGCCTGTGTGATGTCAGGCCTGTCAGCAGGTGATGCTTGAAGCATGTCTTTAATTAGGTTAGTAATTGAAGAGCTGTACTTTGGTAAATCTGGAATCCGATAGTTCCCATTTAAGATTTGCAACTTTGATTCACCATCAAATGCATTCTTGAAGTAGCAAATTCGAAAGAGAAGACACCCAAGAGCCTGCAGTATGACAGAGCAGCTGCAGTTTGTACTTGGCATATCGAATCTAATTTGTCTCTAGATTTCACACGGAGGTACAAGGTATAGTTGACTTACCCATATATCCACCTTTTCATTGATAAGTTCTCTCCGGAACAGATCCCACATCTATGCCAATAAAAGAATGAAGATATATATCAAACATTTTAACCACCATATAAAACAAAAATTAAAATTAAATAAATAAATAAATAAATATAGTTGTTCATCCAACCTCAGGGGCTCTATAGGCAGGTGTGGTGTGCTTCCGGATATTGTCTTCTTCTATACCCATTTCTTCAGGTCTCTCAAAAAGCTTGTGATTGGTTGATGTACTCCCAAAATCACACAACTTCCACGATCCATCAGAACCCAACAGAATGTTCTCAGCTTTCAAGTCCCTGCAAAAATCAAAATGCCAGGAAGTAAGAAACATATTTCGGGCCTTATAAGATTGGGATAGTGGCAATTCTTTTCATTTCTATTATTCACATGTAAAGAAATAAAAATCAACAAGAAGCTACAAAAAAGGGAGTAACCTAAAAACTTGATGACCAAGATACCTGTGAGCAACCGGTGGGGACTGGCAATGCATTGCAAAGACCGCATTACAGATATCCAAGTAAATGGTAAGAATCTGTTTCTTCTCAAAATAGGCAGCTCCTCTAGCCTCTAAGACACTAACAAGAGATTTGTCACAGTAATCCATGACAAGAAGGGCTTCCTTGGTCCTTCCCATATCCAAGATCGTATGGGCATAAAGTGTAACCACATTTGGGTGTCCTTTAAGCGATTTCATGACAGAGATCTCCTTGACGACCAACTCCATTGACTCGTGATCATTGCATATGATGTGCTTCAAGGCATACTGCTTAGAAACATGTAGAGCATCCTTGGCTAAGTAGACACAAGAGAAGCCACCCTCGGCAATCGCATTGCGAACATGAATTTTAAGATTGCCGACATCAAGGGTTTTGCCCTCGAGCCCTGCAGGATCTTTTTGCATAAATGGCTTGAGCCTCCACATAGTTAGAATGAATGCGGAAAGACGCTGCACGAGTGATGAAATAAAATAAAATTATTAGAAATCCCCATTGATGATAATGAAGGGAATCTAAGATTGAGAAGTAAAATTTAAATTTTGGGAACGACTAATATGAAACAGTAAGATAACAATGATGATAGCTACAATTACAATAGTCAAACCTAAGAAAACAACAATTAATGAATGCAGATACAAACGCAATACAACAGCAGCAGATCTAGATACACTTGAATATTGGGGCAGCGCAATAACGAACAAATTGCAATCAAGATCCCAATTTTCATACAGACCCAAAACCCAGATATCTCCCATCACTGCCATTAATTATTTGGTGGGTTTTTTTATTTTGATTATTATTATTTTCCACGAGTAATAGGTAGCAAAAACATAAACTTTGCAGCTATATATGTAAATCTAATAATGAATCTAAAGAAGGGAACAAGAATTACCGAATCAATTTTAGTTTAAACAAAGCAAGAAGATGATCGAGAATGTACCTGGCTAGATGAAGCTGAGTGGGTAATCAGATATAAAGGTACTCCACCAGGACTTGATTGACAGAAACAGATGATCTAGGATTGAACAAAGATACCAGAAGCGAAGATGAAGTTTTGCTTTTGCTTAAAGATTTGATTTTGCGACCTTTTGTCTTTGAGCGTTGCGTAATTCCGAAAAACAAAATACTCCCAAATAATTTCACAAAAGTATCATTTAGGTATTGGACTAGATGTATAAATTCCGAATATTCATTATTCAAATTCATATAATTAATATACACAAATTTAATTAAAATTTTAAATGTTTAGATTTGATTTTATAAAATAAAAATATATTTATTAATAAATTAATTTAAAACTTTGATCATTTAAATTTTAATAGATTTATATATTCTATATACTATATAAAATTTATATTTAATTTAAATTCAATTTTATATAATAATAATAATAGAATAATTTATGGATAATACATTTAAATTTTTAAATAAATTTACAATTTCACATTTTTATGTTTTAAGTTTAGCGTTTTTCGACTTTATTATTAAAATTATTTATTTATTTATTTATGATTACAATACTCTTCTAAATATTTATGTAGATAATTTTTTTTAGTGTCACGTAAGAGAAGATAAATATTGTAAAAAACTTTTTTTAAAAAACTTTTTTTATAATATACATTTGTTTTACATGACATAATCAATCAAACAAAAGACATATTTTTACAAAAGCTTACAAATTATATGTCTTTTTAAAAATCACTTTTTTATGATATACTTTTATAAAGTGTGTTTTTATTTACGTAGTAACATAAAAAAATATTATTTCTATGAATATCTTTAAAACGTGTTATGATCATAAATAAGAGATTGATACATTTGAATAATAAAATTTATACATTCCATCTTTAAGTCAAGCTGTGCGCTGTAATATTTATCTTCTTTTGTAGTTAGTGAATGTGTTGCTTATAATTGTAAGTTGAGAATAGGATTTTGTTTATTCCTCTTTCAAAAAAAATTATTATTAGCTTTTAATAATATGTATAATCAATTCATTATGATTGTTTATTTCTAGATTATTTTTAAAAGGTATTTATTTATTCATTAATGATATATGTTGTAATGAAAGTATTAAGATGTTACAATCGTAAAGAAACTTTAAACATCATAAAGGCAATGTAATTTTTCCGAGATACTGAGCTTGAATAGTTATATCTACAAGATATATATATGTTGTTAACGGTTAAAAAAGATTTTGAACAAATAGTGTTGTAATCATCTCATACTAATAAAAAAAAACCTTTAAACATCATACTCCACGTTGCTTTTGAAATATGTTGTGGCGATGATAAAGGTGCTTACCATAATTTAATTATGAATGGATCAAGGGAGTCGGGTGGAGATTTTCCTTTTAATTTTCAAATTTTCACATAATTTAATTATTCTTTAAATTTGTTTGTTAATAATTCAATTTCATCCCCTAAAAATTTATGATTTACTTCTTAACATAAAATTTTATGTTCGTACAGACCTCATATATTCAAAGTAATGTGGCAATACATGACATGGAGTCAAAGGTTACATTAATTTTAAAATATTTTAAGGTAGATACAAATATATTAATAACACAAAAATTTTAAATGATGTAAATACAAATAAAATTTTATGATGAACATTATCAATAAAATAGATAATTAACTAAAAAATAATAATTTTAATATAATCATATACCCATACTTAAAAAGTTATGGATCCGCCACTACTTCGTGTGTACATTGCCATCTGCTCTCATGACTTATAACCAACCATGGGCAGATAGGCTTAACTAGTCCTCTCGAAAGTCGAAAGCAGGCTGAATACGAACTGAGCTGTTTGGGCTTTAATGGGCTTTTATTTTTGGATAAACTATTTTAGTGACAATAATTTTATAATGGATCCGATGAACTTCCATCCATTATCATTCAATACAAAATTAATTACTATTAGTCACTAATTATAAGTATAATTTACATGATTTTTGGGTGGGTCCTTCGCATATGTATCGTGGTGATTAACGTTGGGAAAATAATTAATAAAATAATAATATGTTATATATCAATTGATTACTTGTTTGTAAATATGCAAATTGATATATGAAACTGTTAATTGTGAATTTATTATAATTTCAAACTTGATTTTCAAATTTATAACTATTTGAAAGAATAAACAAAAACATTTTTTTCAAAAACATATAGTTTTTTCTTCTATTACTTTCATTAGAACATTTAAATATCCTCTTCATTTTATTTGATTTAATTTTGAATTATTTATTTCATTGATTTTGATTTTATAATTCGTTTTTATTTAAAATAATTATATTTTTTATTCAAAAAAAATATTTTTTTACATACGTATATTTATCTAAATAAATAAAAATAATCTATGCATGCTCAAATAGGAAACTAATTTTGCTTGTTTATTCCATAATGGGCATGCATTAGTTTAAATGTATATATTTATATATAATATATGGGGTAGAATCCATGTATACCGTATAAAATTTATTAATTTTACATGAAACTTTAACCATTCAATCAAGAATGGAATTAGGATAAAACATTGAAAGGGACAATAATATATGTATTTATATTTGAAAAAAAATGGAGGGGCAAAGGCTTTATTTCACTCATATTCAAACTAACAATGACCTAAAATGTTATTATACCAAAAAAAAAATTCAGGGGACCGCAGTCTCTCCCACCCAACAAATCGCTCCGTTCATGCATTCCGTAAATCTAAATAGATGTATGAGATTAAAATAAAATTATTTATTTTTCTAATGTATAAAAAATTAATCTCATGCATCCGTATAAATTCATCCAACGAATATATTTTTTATGTAAAACTAATGAATTTTAGACATTATAAATGAATCATATCCCTTATATATATATAATCTTATTATTACATTTTAAATACCAAATGGGGAGAATTAAATAATGGTTGAATGAAAAGTCCATTGGTCATTTAATTTGAGAATAAACCAATGATTGGTCATAATGTATTTGTACATATGTAACATTACAAATGGACACCACAACTCTACTCATGCATCACTCATCCATTCTTTTTGTTTTTGATGGCAAAGTCACAACAACCCACAACTGCAACACCCACAAACTGCTTGTAACTTGTTTGATACACAAAGGGAAAAATGAACTATTATTTGACTTGATTTTCAAGCCAATATTATGACCATTGATAGTGATGAATAATATTAGTTGCCAACATTAATTATACAGACCCTAACTACCACGATTAATGTGTAATTATGGTTTCCTTGGTGACAAGAATTAATGTATTCCTTCCTATGAAGACATGGGGGCAGCTGTTTAGTTCAAATGATGACTGTGTAGACCAGTATTTAACCATTACCATGGATCTATTTGTTTATGATTCAAGGTATTTCAATTTGGGATGCCATTAACTTCGTAGACCATTTGGAGTGATACTTACATATCACTTGTTTAATAGTAAGTATTTGTAAAACATATCCAGGGTTTACATATCACTCATAATTATTATATTTAAAGGTTATTTATTTTTTTAGGATCAAGGTGGATCGAGCTTTTTGTCAAAATTTTAAGCTCGGATTAAAGTCATATTAATCTTTCATTATATTAGATCGAAATCAAATCAAATTATATTATAATCGAAGTCGAGTCGGAATCTTAAATTTTAAATCGGGTCAAAATCACTGAAAACTCATCCCACCAGGGATGAAAGTACATGGAGAGTTTGGGAAAAAAAATTCCTCTCAAATTTTTTTTTTGATCTAATAACAATTTTAGGTCGTGTCAATTTAAACTTTAGTAAAATCAACTTTTATCCTTCTAGTTTTTGGATTAAATATTTAATAAATATATATTATTTTGAACTTAAATTATTTATCCCTTCTAATATTTAATTCAAATTTGATCTCTCATCACATCCCACTTCATTGCCATCCTATACATGAATAATGATGAGTACAATGATCTAAAGGTTCAAAGGTCCCAAAAAAAAAAGAAGAATGATAAATGTAAGAGTAGTGTAGATACATAGAAAGAGGAATGGTCCACAAAAATGGATATAAACAGGATGGATATCGCATTCTTATAAATTTTAATTTTTTATTATATATTTTAGGTATTTTTTTATTTTATATTGATTATATAATTTCACGTCCCTTAAAATTTTATAACTTTTTATCTCTAAAATTTTTAATATAATTTTTTAAGTTTGTACATGTGACATAAATTTATACGTCCATCGCTAGATATAAACACCAACAACAACAACAAAAATGACCATTTTTGCAGGGGGAAAAAGTTGCTCCTGCATCATCTTCTGAACTAAGAAACAGCTCTATTATGAATCCTCATTAATCATCATATAATCATTTTATAATATCTCATTTGAATAAAACCATTTTTAAATCATAAAACAAGAGAGAATACGTATTTTCAAAAATATATAATTTTAGTGTTTCTTTAAATAATCAAATATTTTATCTCATTCACCGGCAAAACATTTTGGATTCTCTTTTGGTTTTTGTTTTGTGTTGAGAAACAACAATAATTATATAATAATTAATTTAGTAACGGATGCGCGTTTAACATTAATATACTGATAATGCTAACAAACAATAATTGTTGCATTGAAAATTCGTATGTCGTTGGCAAGTCAATTTTATCATTTTTTTTTGAAATCAATACAAATAAAATTATTTTAAAATATATTATTTAATTCATTAGTAATATACATTCAAAATTGTTTTAAAATATATTATTTAATTTATTAGTAATATACAGTCGGTTAAACTCTATTAGGAGTTTTTATATTACATCTAAAAGTTTATTTTAGTCCCTTTAAAAAGAATAGTTTAATCCTTATATGTTTGAAAAGTTAATATTTTGGTCTAAAATTTTAAAATTATAGTTAATCATCTTAAATATTTTGGTTTAAACACCCTTTAAGTCTTTCTCAATTTTGAAATTGAGTAAAATGATCACTTTTGAAAAAAAAAGGAATAGTTTAGTAGATGTAAGTAAATAAGACTAATCTGTGATCATGTTAACCATTTATGTTAGTATATGACACATGTCCAACTAAGATGAAATAATTTTTAATAATATTT